TGGTTGAAGGTTTTTTGCAAAAAAAGAAAATTTTATCTAGGCATAAGGTTGTACTTTTTGCTGTGAAAAAGTTTGAACAGATGGGAAGTAGTTTGAATGAATTAGAGGAAATGCTGATGGAGTGTCATGTGAAGAACCAGATGACAATGAAGTTCCTATATAATATGAAAAGATTACATCGTTACATAAAAATGCAAAGGAAAGAGTATTCAACCTGAAGTTTTAGGAATACTTCAGTCATATTGTGTGGTATCGCTTTATTAAGATCTTGCATCCATTGAAGCCAGCCTCTTCACACCAGAGAAATAGGTTTTTAACCAGTTAGCTGTTACTTAAATGTTCACTGTGTGTGATCTATAAATAATGTTAATATACAGAGTTTAAATAATATTTGACAGTCATCACTTTGATGTAATTCAACTCTGAAACTTGCTATATTATCAACATAGAAGCCTAGCAGCAAATTAGTTTTCTGGATTTACTTACATTTTGCTGAATACACTATTGTCTAAATGTAATATATTCTGTAGGTACATTCATACTTCTCAAATTGATTTCAAACCTTTAATTGTTTTCTTCAATTTTTGTTACATGAAGCAACTTCAAAAACTGTGAAATTTATAAAAAGATTTTTAGAAGACTTTTCTTACATATGTAATTTGGTTTGGTTGATGTAGCCTTCTTGGGCAGTACTCAAATCATTTTTGCAAGAAGTAGGTAAAAAGATAGATTAACTGATGATTCATTTAATCTGAATTTTATATTGACATAAAATCACATAATTAATTCGCCATTTAAAAGTGCCCTACAGCTTCTGCAGTCATAGAATAATAATTTAGAAATGACTGTTTGGCTGCCTGTGACTTATCCTAATGAACTGTCTTCTCAGCATAAAACATAAAAAGGAGCATACTCAAATATTTTATATTTTAATGTGTTGCATAATATTATCTCACTCAGAAATAGCAGGCAGAGTATCTCATATTTCATCGGGAGAAAAGTTTTCCAGTCGATCTTGAGTTTGATTTCGTTTTAGGGTGATACTTTTCATTAAATGAATTACTACATTTGGCTCAGCTCTTACAACTTAGTGCTGAAAATGCAGAAAGTGGTCTTTTTAGGAATTTACTGATGGATTTTAAGTGTCATGATCCTGTTTTGTTTTGTAATATCACCAAAACTAAAAAGATAGCAAAGAAAGACCCAGCAATACAAAACAATTTCTTGTTATACAGTAAGTCGTATCTTCTTCTGGATATCATGAAACTAGAAGAAAGTTTTGACTTTGCTATAATCCCGCTGTTCCTTTTTAAATGTAGTTTCCAAACGCCTAACATTTTTTCACTGAAATATTGCCATAAGCTGACTTGATATCATGTGCTCGTCTTTTGTCTTCTGAAGTTTGAATTTTATTATTTAAAAAGTAGTTTAGTCACTTCAGGAAGAGTGCTATTTTGTGCTGTTTTCTATGGGAAAACAACTTCGCAGAAATTATTTACTGCAATGTAGGAGAGTTCTTTTGAAATAATTTGCATGGTTACTGTAAAGGTAAACTATTCTATCCATAACTGCGAAATAACTTTACACATACGTCCTGTGGCTTAAATAAATCATGGATGACATTTGTTGCAATGTGAATGTGGCATTAAGATTCTTACAGCATTCACTTCAAGTAGCGATCCAGCAGTGGTAGTGACTAAGGATATTATTATAGCCTATGCTGAGAAAAGCACATCTGTAAAACTGTTGTGTCTTGGTTATTAGTGCTAGGATTTGAACTATCTTTAATCTCATTTGACTTGTTCATCTTCCTTAAGGATCTCCATAAAGATGCACTGGGTATTCTTTTCAGTCCTTAGTTAGGGTTTGCATCAGTGGTCGTAAACCTGCTTAGCGGACAAAGACTCTTTTCCCTTTGAAGTCACTTCCCCAGCTTTTCAAAAGGTCTGCAAGCCAGTTCCCCTAAAACAATTTAGAAAAGTTTGAAGCGGTGCCCCTTAAACCAGCAGCAAAATAAAATTTTCTCTTTGCATTATTGAAAACCATGACAATCTTCTGAAGCAATAACAGTTTAAAAGCTTTTAAAGAAATCTGTTCTGCTCTACGATCAGCTTTTAAGTTGACCCCATTATTTGGAAAATCAGAGGCTTGGAAACCCCTAAATACTTGAAATTCTTACCAAAGGAGTTAGCCTGACTTTTCACAGGAATCCTCTTTTACAGTATTTATTCAAGTCCTAATTTCTTTAAGATACTATTCAGATTTCTTCTGTTTCTTTTTTGCATTAAAGTGTATATTTAGAATAAATGTAATTTAGTAAACAGCTGATATAATTTAAGAAACACTGGTCCTGCCACCTGTAGATTTATACGCTGTTTGAAGTCAAGTCCAAATTCTAAAAAGACTACAAGTATTACTGATGTAATTTTACTTTTCTGTTGACTGTGATAAATATGTATATGCTCAGTTTCTACTTCTTGTTTTAAGAATCTTATCTCCTACATTTTACACATATAGTTACTGGCAGCCTAACATAGGTAAAGCCTACAGTAATGTAGTTGCTGTAAGCAGCAAGTTTACTATAAGGATTTTGTTTATCTGCACTTCCTAAAAATTCATTCGAACATTGCTTCTAATAAGTCCTTCTAACTCCAGCATCTTTTATTCATTACCTCCACTGCAATGTTGTACATTTAAAACTTCTCTGATTTTGAAAGTTTCATTAACATGTGTAGTATGTAATTAGATTAATTCCTTGCTAAGGAATATGCAAGTGTTTGTTAAATGCAATTTCTATAAGCAAAAGAAAGCAAAAGAAAGCAATAAAACCAGAATCCTAGAATTTTGCTAATGTAGGCAGATCATTTAATAGAAAACAAACTAACGAGAGCTTTAAATGCACAAAGCTGCTGAATTGGGTCAGAAAAATTAAATTGTTACTGGATGATAAGACTGTTGTGGTTACTGTTACATTTTCCCTTAAATCCGCAAATTTGTGGTTTGTCTACACAATGTTCTTTTATAAATCCTCTGAGGTGCCTGCCCCACGTTTAGGTGAGGAAATTTCAATAGAGCAAACTTTCTCTAAAAGGTTTGTGAGTGTCTGTAGGATCAGTCACCTAAGAAGTACCTAGAGGTCATTAAGTCTACCCTTTTGCTTCTAATTTTTTGGGCGTTTTTCCGTTGCTTCTGAACTGTCTGCCACACTTCCTGGTTTTGAATGTGTTTTGCCTAACATTATACTAAACAAAAGCAATAGCTTTAAATTTGCATTTATTAAGAGATTAGGGACAATTCAGCAAGTTGTTCCAGAGCATTTTCAGATTTGAAGTGTTGATAATATACATGCTCACGTATGTGTGTATATATAATGTATATGTATATATCTAAGAAGAAACAGATTTATTTACCTTTCAAAATTTTGTACTGTGGATATAAATTATAGATTATAACACTAACTGCAGAATAAATCAAATTTTGAAAGGTCAAAATCCTTGATTTGATACTTTGTCATAGATTATGACCTTTTCTAAAAAGCCATTTGAATGTGGCAGCTACACAGACACTCCTAAAGTGTTGCAAATGGTCTGAGTAAAAATGTAAAATACTGAGTGTAAGCTAAGCTTTTATTTGTGCAAGCCCAGATCTACACTTCTGTTCCAGCGAAGTCTTTTGCTGTACACGTGCAGGGTCTGGGGAGCTACCTGCTTTAATATATTTCCATAATTTCTAGTAATACCCAGTACCAGTATTACTAGTACTGTTAAGGCTCTACCTGGACAAACTAATGACATTATACCATGTTTATATTTTGAAAAGTTACAACTCCAAATATAACTTGAATGATACTACCTTAGTGACAAATGGAGTCAGTTGGCCCTGTCGTTACTTTGTCTCTTTGCAAAATCATCTCCTGTTTTTGAATTAAAAATATTTTTATTTTACCACTACTTGACTGCCTTGTTAGTATCTCACATATCATAATTTATTGTGAAGTGAAATTATTCCTTGCTATTTAAAAATTCATCTAATCCTTTTTGAAACTACATGATACATTGCTCAAGTTACATTCCTTAGAGTTTAAACGCTTTGTAAAATGTAATGAATGAACTAATTATACGGTAATACAAAAATAAAATTACAATTTCCATGAAATGCTAGCACTGTTGAAGATAGTGATTCAGAGAATGATCTGTGAGTGAAGTTATAAAACTATTTAAAGAGCTTTATAGCATTTGCTTACCCTTTCTGTGTCTTGACCTGGAGAAATGTTTTTTGTTCTTTAAATGTGCCAATTGTACAGTTTCTTTCTCTTTATGGTATCCGTATATGGTATCCGTATCCGTATACTAATAGAATCTCAGAAAAATACAGTTTTATTTGTTCTTGTTGCAGTGAAATGTCTAATAGGAATAGCAGTAATTGATGTTGGGTTTGTGTGTTTTGATTTTGCAAATTCATCTGAAATTCATAATTATGTTCCAAGCTCCACATCTTACAAGGAACTAGACATTGGGCTGAGGTTTCAACATTGTTACTAGAATAAAATGCAATCAGTCAAGGGATGTTTTACTTCATCTTTGGGCACTGTAGATGTCCCTTCTCAATACTTGTCGTAGTGACACTTGTGTTTACTTATGCTTGTTACGGGAAAAGGTAGTAATTGGCTTAGATCTCTTCCTCCACAATTAAAATAGCGGGGGGAGATGGCGGGAAAAATGTAAATCTGTGTGCTCCAACCTCTATTTGTTATTACTACACACCTTACTTTTATCCTAATACACGTTAGTAAATGTGTTGACTGAATTCCTGTAGTAGACTGCTGCTGTACTATGTAGATATGAGTACAGAACAACCATATGCAAACAGTAGCATAGAAGTGATTTATAGGGAACATGAACTCAGAGACCAAGGAAACTGAAGACACTTCAGTGATTGAAAGCAGTGATTTCAGAAACAGATTGTAACCAAGGATTGCTTTTATTGTTTTTTCATTGAAGGTGATTTTGCAACTCCTCGAGCTATTTTGACAGGACATGACTATGAGATCACCTGTGCTACCATTTGTGCTGAACTTGGCCTGGTAATAAGTGGTTCAAAAGGTAAGGTAGCTGTTGTCATTTCTTCTTGTTCATGAAGCTATAATCCTAATGCAATAAAAATATAGTCTCAGGTGGCAGTATTTATTAGCTTTATGGTAGTTTCATTTCTAGCCTTGTTGTAGTTGCTACAGAATTTGAAACCTCTTTTTAAACACGTTAAAGCTCATGATTATTGACATTTACAAGAAGAGGCAGCCACATCAGTTTCCTTGTTAGGGCCTACTGATTACTGTTTCTTTTTGTGGGTTTGGTTTTTGTTTTCAGTGTAATTGCAAGCACACATTGTTGGTTCGTGTCCAACTTTCCATCTCCCAATACCCCCAGGTCCTTCTGTGTGGGGCTTATCTCAGTCCCTTTATTTCCTAGCCTGTATTGATTCTATTGATTCTGAGGGTTGCCCTGGCCCAGGTGCAGGACCTTGCCCTTGGCCTTGTTGAACCTCATGAGGTTCATTTGTGCCCACTTCTTGAGCTTGTACAAATCCCTCTGGATGGCATCCCAGCCCTCAGGCATATCAACCACACTAGTCAGCATGGTGTCATCCACAAGTTTGCTGAGAATGCACTCGGTCCCACTGTCTGTGTCACTGATGAAGATATTAAACAGTACTGATCCCAGTGTGGACCCTTGAGGGGCACTGCTCATCACTGATCTCCATCTGAACATTAGGACATTGACCACTACACTCTGGGTATACACTTTTAGAGTACCTGCATATGTATATTCATCATACTTAACTGTGTGTATCTTCATATTCTGAAGAACTTATTTTAGGATTCACTACATTTATTTTTGCACTCTCAAAATTAACCACTACCAGTTTTAAAAGGAAGTACACAAAAGAAAATTTGATAGGTCTCTAACTAGTTTTGATAGTGCTCTAAAATACCTTAATACAGAGCTTTTAAGGGGTAAGCTGTTAATTTTACTCTCTGGCACCCTTAAAGTCATAGACTTTCCACTTAGATGTGGTAAAAATCATTATAAAGTATTATAATAGTGATTACCTAAGTCGAAGTCATTACTTATTATTTGATATATGATATCTTTAAATAAGAATGTAAATTAATAACTAGAGATTTTATTCTGTCTCATTAGAAGGACCATGTCTCATACATTCTATGAATGGAGATCTACTGAGGACATTAGAAGGTCCTGAAACAGAAGGTCCTGAAAGTTGTTTGAGACCGAAACTTATTCAAGCTTCAAGAGAAGGTCACTGTGTCATATATTATGAAAACGGCCTCTTCTGTGTGTTCAGTGTCAATGGGAGACTTCAAGCCACTATGGAAACAGATGACAAGATAAGGGTGAGTGTACTCAAATGTGTGCTAAGTACTGTCAGTTCTGGTATCAGGAAAAGCTATCCATGTTGGAGTTGTGTAGCGCTTCTTTCCATAGCCAGGCCATAGATATATATGGTACTAAGTCATAACAGCAGCATTCTGAAAAGAATGTAGTTAAGGGGACCAGGTACTACTAATAGTAGTTTTTAATTTTAGATTAACTCTGTTTGTATAGTAAGGAATAGCCTATAGGCATTTTCTTGAGCTGAAGACTATAAATTTTATATATATATATTGCTGACCAGAAGAAGTTGGGCTCCTTCTTTACTTTTTAATCTAAAGGCAGGAGGTTGTTGTACATGCAGTTTTGGATGTTGGCCTTTCCTTTTCTGACATCTCTGTCTTCATTCCGTCATCTTAGGCTGAGATTGTGTGTGTTGTGCTGAGCTTCAGGAAGTTTATAGGCAGCTCTTTAGTCCTTAAAAGTCTCTTTGGCAGTTGCTGAGCAGGCAGGTAGGTTCCACATCTTTAGCTGCAAGAGACATGAAACAAGTCCAAAACTATGCAGGAGGCATTTTAAGCTTTTATGGCTTTATGGAATTTATTTGATAATACAAAATGCAGGGTTTTTGACAGTTCCTATGAAATAGTACCGATGAAGCAGAGCAGAACCTGCCAGCTATACTGCAGTGAAGCAGAAATGTCAAAAGAATATTTTCCTTGAATTAAAAATATTGCCACTTTTTACTTGAATGTGAAAGAAAGGAAAGGGAAGGGGGGTGGGGGGAAAGCATTACCAAATCTACTAGGAAGTTATAGAATGCAGTAGAGACATGAAGCAAGACCACATTGCTGGGTCAGCATTCAGACTACCTGGATTATCTGAAGTTATGGTCTCCATGCCAGTAGTTGTGGTCTGAGAGACACAGAATCACAGCATGGTTGAGGCTGGGGGGGACCTCTGAAGAACATCTGGTCCAGCCCCCTTCTCAAAGCAGAGCCATCTAGAGCCAGTTGCCCAGGTCCATGTCCAGACTGTTTTTGAATATCTCCAAGGATGGAACCTCTCTGGTCAACCTTTGCCAGTGCTTCGTCATCCTTATAGTAAGGAAGTGGTTCCTACATAAAACTATTTAAGTAGTTAAGATCAGCCGGAGGAGCCTTGTGTTGTAAGCATATAGCAGTACTACATCTCCAAGCTGACTTTCATAATCTGACGGGAGAGCCCAGAAACTCAGCTACTGGGATTTCCAATGTTCTCATGAGTTCAAAACTCTCAAAAGTTTCTTCTTTATTTGGAGTAGATGTTTCAGGGAGAAAATGCCTCTTTGTCCTCATGTTCGTTTTATAGTATTATCGAAATTCTTTAAGATGTTGTGCAATATTGTGTTTTAAAATTTGCATCTTCTCTTGATTGTATTCATATTAATGTTTAAGATGGAAGAATACATCAGTATATTTGAATGAATTTTTGTCTTCATTATTTCCATTTTGTAACTGACATTGAACAGTGAATTCTCCATTTGCACTGAAGTCTCTAGTGTAGTTCAGTTTCATTTCACTTAAAACCTTCTAAAACTCTGTTGTGTACTATATTCTGTTAATCCAGCATCCATGCGTTTTCAAAATGTGAAATACATTGATGGTGGAATATGCAGAGAGAACTCTCTGTGTAGGTCTCTCTTCCTTAAGTGAGAGTGCTGTTTGCAGGGGTGGGAGGGCATTCAATCTTTGGATGCTATGGCAGCCACAGGTGTGGATTTGAGGCTGGAGAAATGAAGTAGGAATGTGTATATTTCTGTCCCAACCCACTTTTTCAAAGTTATTGTAGACTGTTATTTCAGTTTTTAATTTTTCTTCAATTCCCAGAAATTGTACCTTTGGCTTTCCTTGTACAAATGCTTTTGAGATTTTTCAGCCTTCATCCCAGTGCTTTCCATAAAGCACGTACATATCACAGTGTTTTCTCTTTTTACAATAATGAGGTTGATAATCTGTCACCTTCAGTTGTGATTATGCTGCCAGCTAGGCCAGCAAATCTTTAACATAACTAGAAATCCCCTGCTGGCTAAAACAATTTCTGCAGTGTTTCAGTCAGTACGCACAGCTTTAGGAACATTGCTAGAGGCAATGGGAGTTCCACTCTCTGTGGGCCAGAATTACCTATGTACAGGCGTTTGGGTTTTATTTTGCTTTGTTTTGTTTTCTTTCTCTCCCAGTGGTCCCCGTTGGGCTTTACGTTTAAACGATCTACAGAGTCTTTCCCAGTGCTTCTGCACTATATCATGTGAGAAGGCAAGTGGCAACTGCATGATGAAAGTAAAGTAGGGGCATTTAAAATGAATAGTACCTACCCATGGGCTGTGCTGACAAACACTTTTCTTTGGTTTTTGCTCGAGGAGGATAGAAAAGGGAAGGAAAAGGTTGCGAGTGTTGAATCCTTAATGTAAAATTCTAGTTTCTATTTTCCTATGTCCTTGTGAACCTGTATTTCAGAACGTTACTGACAAAACTAGCAGTTTTCAATAGTGATGTTTGGAACAACATTCTGATTTTCTTTCTTGTATTCTTGTGCTAGAAAACTGCAGGAAAAATTTCAGACGCTCTGGGGAAATTCAAAGTCTAATCAATGCCTTCCACCTGTTTTTGTTTTAAATACTGTATTGCTCAGTGGAGCTTAGGCGTATCGCAGTACATCTACCATGTAATGTTTAGATGTCTTAATGAATAACTTAACTCTAAATAGTCTTCTTGTTCTGAGAAGTAAAGTTATTTTACCCTAAACAAAGACTGTATGCTGTTTCACCCAGAGGAACCAATTTATTTTCCTTTCCTGACTCTGTTTTGAAATGTGGAAGTACCCACAAGACTCCTGCTGCTGTGAACCAGGGCTGTCACAGCGTCAGCTCTGCCTCTTTACAAAGCACTGCCTTTCAAAAATCTGAGATGTTAAAAGGGATTTGTGCAAAGTTTTGAGACTTTCCAAGGAAATACAAGTCAGAAATGCAGCTTTTAGAACATTGCTGAAATTGTGCACTTTGGGGATTATTTGAGAGTCTGAAGCTCATGTTGTGAGAAAGCTTAGTTGCAGAGTTGTTTCAGTTTCATACCTAGCAGAATTGTAGATAAACTACTCTGGGGAAAAGCAGAACAGTAAAATTGATTCATGTCGTCTTCTGTACCAGTTGGAGTACTTGGGAGTAAAAGCATCCTTTCGTTTGTTAAATCTTGAAGGGCATGTCATGAAACCAAAATGTTGACAGGGTGACCTTTTTCTTCCTTCCTTCCTTCCTTCCTTCCTTCCTTCCTTCCTTCCTTCCTTCCTTCCTTCCTTCCTTCCTTTCTTTCTTCATATATATATATATATATGTATGTGTGTGTGTGTATATATAGGCAAGTGGATGAGAAATTTATTCATAAACAATAGAAATAAATAAATCAAAATCTTGTCTTCATGACAAGCCAATGACTTGGTAAAATTGCACAGGTATTAGTAAGGGTTCAAAGCCTATACTTTATTTAATCAAAAGATCACAAACTCCCCCTTCATTTTGCAGGTAGTGGAAGAGTTAAAGATTAATGGCTTTAATTTGCCTTTTAATATAGCATTTCTTCAGTGAAAGCCTCAAGTATAAAATTCAAGTGAACCGTGACCATAAGGTTAATGGATTTTCATCAGCTGAATTTTATAAGTGTAGCAAATAATTATTTGTCATGGTCTTCATTGCGATTTGAAAATAGCCTTAGGAGACTGCCATTGCTATAGAGAAAAAAACCACCCAATATTGATTTTTGCTTCTAATGAATAATCGTTTTAATAATTGTGTGTGGTATGTTAGATCTCATGATCATCTTCTCAGTTTGTGAAAGTTCTAGATAATTGTCAGTCTTATCTCTGTTTTCTACCCCTTTCTTACTGAAAGAGGGTCTTATAAGAGGGTCTCTGAAGCGGTTTTTAAGCTCCTTGCGGCTGTGCTTTGGGAGATGCTTAGCATATTTTTGTAGGCTGGTAGAAACAATCACAGAGACAATTTATGGTTGGAACATTTGGGGGTTTTTGCGGGAGAAGCTTCAGCTCAGAATGCTCAGCTCTAACCTTGCTTATTATTCAATTTTCCATAGTTAGAAATGGTTGGAAAAGACCCCATGTATTCTGCTATATTCTTACTATATTTACATGTATGTGTTGTCATCTTAATTCAAAACACTACTGATCATATTTTTTTATCAATGTTACAATATTTTGTTTACAGTATATTTCAATTACATTAATTTTGAAGTTCTTGTGTGAAGTAAAATTTTAGCAATGTGAGCCATTCTTATTACTTGGGAGTTGTTGCAGTGAACACTCAAAATTGATAATATAAAAGATCACCTATAGAAGCTCTATCTTAATGTACGTGTTGCACATCATGTAATTCTTAAAGGATATATTTGACATCATAGTAATTGAGTACAGCAATACAAAAAATACAGGTGTGCAATACATCTGACTTCAATTATTGCTGTTCATGAAGCAGTATCTTACATAGACTATATTTTGGTTTCTAGGCTTGTCAGCAGTCTGTATGAACACTTTAATGTTGCATGAATGTAACATTTTTCTGTTTTCATTTCTCCCATTTTTGTGGTATATGCACTATAAATTCTGTATATTAAAAAACCAACAACTTCCTTTTCTCGAGGAATTTGAAGTCACAGTATGTTACAAGTTTTGCATATTGAAAACCTGTAGAAGCAGAGAATGCAAGTGCCAAAATACTTGCAGACTTCAGCACAGAGAGCATCTTGCATATGTTTGCAAGATCCTGTCTTCAGTTCTTTCCACTGTTTCCTACATTTAAAATCTTTGAGCTGGAATTTTGCATGTAGACTATCCTCTTGAGGAAATTTCCTTGCGTTCCAGTGACAAAGTTTTAGTTAAAGTGGATCAGTCTATTTGTAGAACATGCGTGTTTGGAATGTAAAAGCCGTTGCTCTGAATATCCTCCCTTCTTGCGTTGTTCTGTTGAAAAGTTTTGTGTCTTGCTGCCTTGGGTCAGGAAGCTGAAGTTTATCACAGATTAGTCCTGGTGTGAAGGATGTGTATTCTGTTGAAAAGCTGCCTAAGTTTAGCTGATTCACAAATCTCAGGTTAAATGCATTCAGTAGATAGTGTTCAGCATCTACATTCTGTACTGAACATCTGTAGCCCAGGGATGCAGAGTTTTCCCCTGCAACCAATCACCCTCTACAGTGAGGTGCACAGAAATGCCATGGCAAGAAATGAGGGGAGCCGATCCTGGATGAGGAAGGGGAAGGACCGATGGAGAGGAAGTGGAGGAAGAAGGGAAGAATCAAGGATGGAACCAAGGAGAGAATGAAAGAGATGTTTGCAAGCGACAGCAACAGCGAAGTAGAGATGGGAATGTAGAAACTTGTTAGAGGCTGGGAGAAGACAAGAAGAGGCAGAAAGGAGTGAAGGAAAAATAGGAATTGGAAGTAGGAACAATGGAGGGAAGGATTAGGTAGGACCAGGTGTTTAATGCTAGATAATAGTGCTTCAGAGTAGCAAAGTTCCTTATTTTCCTTTTGATAACAGCAAATCATCCAGCAAACAACTAGCAAAGTTGTTCTCACCGTTCTGTGTGCTCAAATGTAGAGGTTGATAGGCTGCTGCTCTGACAGAATAGAGGTAGAGAGAAGAGAAGGTTAAAAACAGAAGTCAAGCTGGGGAGCAAAAGTCAGAAAAAGAACTGAGAAAAAGAATCTGGAAACAGGAAGAGAGAGTATAGGAAAAGGTTTGTGCTTACGGGAGTTATTAATAGTGGTCCAAACTGTAGATTTAAGGGTCTTTATCTTGCTGGTAGTTCGTGCTGATGTCATTCCATGTGACAGAATTCACTCAACTTTTTGGTTTTGTTTTCCTGGAAAACCCTACAAACCCTTCAGTTTTCCCAGACGGTTGGAAGATGAGACTATAAAATCAGGGCCGGGTATCATCTACTGCTTAAGTTTCTTTTCTGCATGGCAGCAGGACAGAGTCTTCTTTTCAGGAGAAGTTTTGTACTCTTCAGGGAGCTGAATGCAGAACTGCTATTCAGGAAACCCCGCAGTATGAGACCTGTGGGGTACTCACTGAACTACTTTCACTTTGAAACGGATAAAACTATTTTGCATTGTAATGAATTTCTGTCATTGTTTTCCCTGCAGAAGGCATCAGCAGGCTCAAAAAGAGATTAAGAAAATTCATAGGCATCATGTCTGTAAATAGATACTAAAGGGAATGGACAAAAATACACTTCCTGATATTCCTGATCCAGAAATTGTGAGTGCTGGAAAGCACAAGGGGAAGGGACTGTAGAGTGGCCACCATCAGAGCATCTCTTGCTACCACTGTTGGTGATACAACAGTGGATCATGCTCTACCTGACCCCATAGGGCATCTCTTATTTTAATAAAATTTAAAGTTCAGTTTGGCTTATTTAAACTGGCAAAATCCCACCTTAAGAAATATTTCTCATGCTTCCAGTCATCTTAATATCTGATAGTATCATCTGCTATAACCATCAGGTAACTGAGGAAAGTAGCTGTTCTTCCAGATACTCACTATGTATCATGATCTTTTCTAGTAGCACACAAGAAACATCAAAATAGATTGAAGACTCCTGTTTCAAGAAGTCTTCACTGTGAAAACTAATGTTATCAAATATTTATTTCTCCATGATCTGGATCCCAAATAAAGATTTTGGATATAGATTTGCCATCAGTCTCCATGATCCATGCAAAATCAGGCTATAAGCCATTGAATTTGTCACAGGTGGTTTAAAGATAGATGATGAAAAGATACACAGTCCCTATTAAGAGGGGTGGATCATTATCTTATTATTCCAGAGGAGGAATCTGAAAACACTGGTCTAAATTAGTTCTGGTAATTTGCATAACATTTCAGTTCCCTCTATCATTCAGCCCTTTGCCAGAGAGACGAGGATAGCTTCTGCTAGGCTAGTATTAAAGACACTGGGGAGAATCTCAGGTACTATATTTTAATGGCAGTGCTGCTGGATCTTGTAAATCTAGCTAATGAGAAGAGTGATTTCTTTAGCTGACCTCATGTTATATCTTTGGAATATGGAATAAATCACAGGCAAGGTAAAACTTAACTAGTGACATCTAATGTATTAGGGAGACTTGGGCATAGCATTGTTAATTCTAATACTCTTTAGAGTAACATAACAATAACGTTGCTTCCCAAAAGCTTGTATTGATATCAACTCTCCCTAGACATTCAGCTGTCAATATGAAACTTTAATGAAAATAAAAGAGAGGAATAAGAGCAACATCTCTTCATCTGACAAATATCCATGTGATTTTCCCCTAGGCAATTCAGCTGAGTCGAGATGGACAGTATCTGCTCACAGGTGGAGACAATGGAGTTGTAACCGTGTGGCAGATGTGGGACCTCAAGCAGCTTTTTGCTTACCCAGGGTGTGATGCTGGAATCCGATCCATGGCCCTGTCGTATGACCAAAGGTTAGAGCAAAGTCTGGTCTTCATAAGAATTTCAGAGAATATATACTTACAATTAAATTGTATTTATCTTTTTCTTCTGATTTTTTATTTTCTGTGGAACACACATCCTGGTCATTATATTGAGAATTTTGTGCTTGCATGAGTTTCTTTCTAGCATGTCATATTTAGGGCAGATAATCTCTTTTAGGATTTCAGCTTCTGGGGGAATGATAGGTTGAATTATTGGCCTGTGCCAACATACAGTGTGGATCATGTGGCAGTGGAAGGCTACATGTGTGCTTTTTGTGTTTCTTCTTTCACTTAAGATACAAATCACATTCCTAATTCAAGACCTTTATGTTAAAAATAGAACAGTCAGAATAGTTGCACAATAAGACTCCTTCCACACATCCATATTTTGCTAAAGCTAATATTAATTTTTGTTATAGAAAGGTTATTTTATCCACATAAAACATGACCCTCCTTGAAGATTCCTTCTACTGAAGACCATCAGTTAATACTTTTACTGGATTTTTACATTACACTTTTTAATGTGGCTGTGTTTAAAAGTCCTTCTGTGTGTTTATCACAAAAATATTGTTTGTTTCTGGATGTTTACCATTTCATTTGTGCAAGTTTAGCTTGCAGGCTAGAATTTTGTTTGCTTTGGTGTGTTTGCTTAGTGGAGTTCCTGTGCGCTTTTCAAGCAGATGTGGGTCCTGAATCTCTTAGGGTGTCTACATTGTGCAGTAAAGCATATTGATGAGACTCTTAACCTTCCACTTACTGAAGTCCATCCTGAATGTTTTAACACTTTTACCTGGACTGCATTTCTAAAGCTTACGTAAAATGAACTTAAAAAAAAAAAAAAAATCCAAGCCAGCAAAATCTGTGCACTTAATCAAACATCGAAAAACTTCTCGTTAAGCAAAATCAGAGATTATAGGCATTTTGGAAAAACCAATTTGCCATTAAAAAGCCCCTGCCATTAAAAGTATTTCAAAAGCTGGAGTTACAGCTTTTGAATTTTGGACCTCTTAAATGTATAAAGAGAGAATCTTTAAACTATTTGAAATGTAATATGGACGTCTATAAATTCAACCGTATGCTTAAGTTAGGAACCTATTTGCTTTGGGTTTGAAGACACAGAAACTTGGAAGATACTTACTCAGAGTATTTTACTGAGTAATTACTCAGTAATTGCTGGTAATTGTCAGAGTAATTTATTTGGTATGTCTGAATGTATGTGTGTAAAAAGAAATTTAAACTTAATGCATAATCAGAACGGTGATGTTGAAATGAAATAGTGGGATACTATCAAAATGCAACCTTTTGGTGATCTCATATTTAGTCTTTGTTTGGAAGGAAAAAATACAGCTTTTTACTCTGAATACATTTTTTTTATTCTGAGGCTTTTCCCCTAAAATGCCAGAATTTTATACATCCTCATACTTTTGATTTTTGTAAAACTTCAATATGAGATGGTAAAAAAAATGATGCAGAACGCTTGTAGCTGTGTGCTAACGTCAGGGTCATGGCTTTTCAAACAGACATAAATTTTCTCTAGCAGTAGGCCAACGATAAGGAATTTAAAAAGAAAGAGTGACTCAGGGAGAAAGTACAGTGATTGCTTTCAGGAACTTTCAAAGCAGTCAAAACCTTTGGATTGCTTTCAAACCCAAATACTGACATTGCCAACTGTAGTCCCATGCCCACATCCAGTTCTTTCAGGTAGGTCATGTGCTTAAGTGGGAAAGGTGAAACCGAAACAGTTTCAGCCATCCTTCACTTTCCTGCTCCAGCAGGGCTTCATCCCACTCCCATACCCCCAATAAACCAACCAAGCAAGCCAAAAAATAATCCCAGGAAATCTGACGTGGCCTTGCAGGTCAGTGGAGCCTGGTAAACAATTCTGCTGTCTAACTTTCAATTGTAGCTTCAGGCCGACCATACAAAGTGTTGCATGGTGTTTTGTGATCTCTGTATCTTCTGTCAGAGCTGGTGCAGATGGCAATTTCAGCCAAATCAAGCTTGCTGGTCTCCTTGGAAACCCAAGATGGGAGCACCTAAAGCCTGGCTTTTCTGATACGTGGAGCACTGGCAGCTCCAGGAGTCTTTAGTGGATGTTGGTCGTTGCCTTGAGTTCTCATGCATGTTACTGATGCAGCTCTTTGGTCTGTTGACTCTTATGTCTGGATGTGATGTGGTTCACTAATGAATACGGTATTATTCTTTCTATAGGTGCATCATGACTGGCATGGCGTCTGGGAGCATAGTGGTTTTCTACAATGATTTCAATCGCTGGCACCATGAGTATCAAACCAGATACTGATCTTCACAGAGACCAGGATAAGCACTGATGTGGGCAGCTGTTGTCAGAGGGAAACTGAACACAGCACACAACATTGTTCCTTATAAATAGCTATATTACATGTGAATGTAACTCAAATTTGCTGGAAGAAGCAACCTATTTTTTAAAGTTAATTGCTATTTTTGTAGACATTGCTTGACTTTTTTGGGGTAAGGGCAAAGAAGCAGAAAAATGGCTGCTGGGTTCTGTAGTTAAAAAAATCTATATTTTTAGTCATAATGAGAAGTCTATTTTGATCCCTGTATGTAAAAGAATCCTAAAGTAAATACGGTTAAAACTCACGTTCTAGCTATATTATGAAGAAATGGATTTTCCATCTGAAACTTTGTCTATAACTTGAGGAATATATGATTTTAACATAATGAAAATGAATTATGAAGTTTGGGGAATTTAATCTGTGCTATCTGTACTACACTTTGTCTTGTACTTTTCCAAATGATTGTACTACATCAGCACCGCATTTTCTGGGAATCAATAGAAATATTTATATTATGATTAATGTAATTTGATACTTTGCAAATTGTTTCCATCAATGTTACTATTCAAGCATGTTTCTAGGCCTAGACAATTAGTTCTTTTTTAGTTGTATCTTTTTGTGCCGTTAGGACAGAGAAATCGGGAATGGAGTTTGTGTTACATCAAGTGTGAATCCTTCTAGTTTCTAGCTGGCATCTCCTTCAAAGCACACCAAAATGTGGATTGTTCCTCAAAATCAGAAAGGCTGTTTGAAGACTTCAGACTCAAGTTAGAAACCCACCCAGGCAGGTGTTTCTTAACCGGTGCAAGTACCAAAGCACACTTCTGCTGGTTGGCTGTGAAAGCACCAAGAAGGCAGGTGTTTGCTGGTGCACAGCGCCTGTACAACAGCGGGAGCAGCGGACTTGCAGGTGACAAGCCCCTGCAATGCTGTAGCACATGCCATATTCCTTTTCTGCTTATAGCAGCAATATCTTCTATATTTTGCTGTCACCAAATCCGGTCAGATCCTGCCCAATCGTGTTAAATTACCCCTTTCTTTTAGGAAATGAAAAATAATTTATATTAAGGAACAGTAAGTTATTTTGGTGTTGCGCAAATCTACTTTTCTACAAGATTGCTGTGCAGAATTACGTGAAAATATTTGTGAAAAGATCTGTTACTGTTTTGTAAGTCTGTATTGCATAAAAATCTTCTTAGTATGTTGTGATCTATATGAGTTGAACTTTACATTCCGTATCTGTATTGATACGTACATTTCTCTAGCTGCCTACTAGAGCAGTTCCTGTTTTTCTAAGCATTTAACTACTATGTCTTTCAGCAAAGATTTGGAATGAGAAAATTCAGTTTGAGTGAAGAAATTAAATAAAATTACATTTGTAATTGAGAGCTTCAGTGGAGTACTGGGTTCTTGTGATTCAATGTATATTCTCCATAGAGGAAAGAGATGCTGTGGCCAATGCATTTGAATTACTCTTGGTGTTTATGCACTGGTGACAAAGTTTTATGTCCTCTCTACATTTTTATACTGATATGGCTATGGTGGTATCAGTAGAGTTACATTTTTATGTTTTGTATAGCAGAAGTATGATCCGATTAAGTGAAGGCTATAGTTGTAATGTCTGTAGTAAGTGCCCAGTATATTGAGCAGTAACATTTGTTACGCAAAACTTGTAGTTCACACTTCCTTAAGTCCAACCACATTCGTACCCTTCTATCAGAAGATTTTGAGAGGAAACTGGTTTGCTCTTGAAGAGCAATTTCCATTTTTCTTGAGTCAGGGGTGGGTTTTCTAGGCTGGATGGAGGGAAAAAAAACCCAAAGCAAGCAAGCAAATGTTGCTGCCTGAAATGGAAAGCCTGAAAAATCTCTTTATGATCTGTTGCTATTAGGAAACACTCTGTAGTTGATAGAAGTAATAATCTGTGATTCTGGAGCCAAAATATTTCATGAGGAGTTGATTTGGTAGATTGTTTCTTTTAGTAAGGATCCTATTGAGCTTGAGATGCTTTCCCGAACTGAAAGCGTGACTGAGCTGAGTTCAGCCCGTGTGTGCTGATGGGCAGCTGTGTGATGCTATGAATGACTCCTTGAGGAAGCAGCAGCAGCGGTGCAGCGCAGTGTTTTCTATATTATGAGTCCTGCATCCTTCTGTGGAAAACCTTCACCTTCTGCTGTGTGAGCAAGCCTGTGAAGACACTCCCATTCTGGACAGCTGTGCTGGTAGTTTTGGTGAGTGGGAAGTACCTCTCCTTCTACAGGTAACCAAACACCTTGGGCACTGTACTGGGGACCAGGCTTGCACTTGGGATCTCAGCTTTGGCTGAACTAGTTCACGTCATGCTGTTTGTGATGAGGTGACAAAAAAGGGGTTAAATTTCCAACTCTTCAGGTATTTGTTAGTCTATTTGAGGCAGCACCTGTTAGGTCCCTTGCCTGGTCAGTGTTTAATCTACAGGGGCCAGGCATTAGCCTGAAGCTAGGCCTCAGTTAGCTGGTATTTGCAGAATGTTCCTGAAAAGAGGGAGCTGAGGCCTTTATTTCCTCCTCAAAGTTCAGAGGGAGCACTGATGAACAGCATATTTTTTAAATTACAGTCCAGGCTTTATTCTGTTCTGGTAAGCTCAAATGGACATGATGTTTGCTGCAGTTTATGACTGGTGCTCTGGAAAGCAGCTTTTGCTGCTGCTGAGAACAAGGCTGGTGAGCAGCAGTGCTGCAGGTTTGGTTTGTGGGGAAAGTCTTGGAGCAAGTAGCTTGAAATCCTTTCTAAGTTTGTGAAAACTGCTTCTATAAATGCTGTAGGGTCTGGCAAGAGATGACGGTGTGATCAGAGGGGTGGCTTCGCTGAAAGAGGTTCATGTTGTGGTGTTACTGCGAGCAAAGGTAAATGAATGTCGTCATACTTTGAGAATATTTCTTCAGTTCTTGGCTATGTTGTGCTGTGTGTGACCAAAAAGCTTCTACACCCGGAATGTGCCATGTGCAGAGTATATGTAATTATTACTGTTTCTGGTCCTGACATACTCTTCCACCCATCTGCAGCACTTTGTTTCTGCTGTAGACTGCAGCTCTGCTGGTTTAGCACAGAGCAGAATAACTGTCTGAAAGAGCTAATCTGATACCAAGATACTACAGAGTTTACTGTGGATGTTCTGCTGATGGAGCAGTTATTTCCTAGGAAAGGGAGAGTTTAATACTACTATGGTACAGTGGCAGCTGTTGGTGTTTTTTTTGGTTTTTTTTACAACTACTGTCAGAATTTGGCATGATTTTGGGGTTCTCATTGTAGTTGTAAAAATATACAAATTGATTTTCTATTTAGAAACATTATGGAGAACCTTTTCTGCTGTGGTGCTTTTAGTGTGTGGGATCAGACTGGGGATTTTTAAGGAGCAGTGGAGTTTGCTCAGTTACTCCACATACCTGAACAGCAGCAACAACAAAAATCTGACCCATGTTTTTCATACAGAGCTGGTGTCCTGGAACAAAAAATTGTTCTCATTTCTTTTAGTAGCAAAAGGAAATTCAAAACAGGGACTTATGTGGGAAACTAATTTTATTGCAACTTTAGGCCATAATTGCTGTTAAATATATTGAATCAGAATGGCCCAGATATGGTGACTATATAGAGTGTAGCTTTTGCATTTTATGTACTAAGTTTCGTATTAATAGAGATTTAAGTAAGTGTGCTTGTGTTATGGCATCTCTGTTCTGCTTTCTCTTTCACTTAGAAGTAATTCAAAGGGAATAAAAGATAACTATTTTGTTCTTAAGGGGCTGGCTGCATCCTAGTTAAATAAAACCAAAGCTGGGCCATTCTGTGGGTGTTGCTCTAAACCAGTGAGACCTTTCTTTCCCACATAAGGTTAGAATATTTGTGTAAAGCTTGAGATGAGTCACTTATTTGGATTCAACATTTCATGAAATCTAGTTTACTTTTATGCAGAACCAATCTAAGATCTTTAGTAAACTAATACAGTTTAATGATGCATTAAAAAACCAGGAAATGGTTTTTGATTTTGTTTAGATTTACTGAAATTCAACTGCATGTAACCTAAAGCCTTGCAGTTCAAATACAGGCAGTCTTATGAGGAAAACAAATTGGTTAAAGCACATAAAGTTTGAAAGAATAAATTCTAACGTGTATCCGTAAGTAGTTTATTTTTAGTTGTGATTTCTTATTATAAAGGAGCATGTTATTGTAAAGAGTATGTAAAATATTTCACAGCTTTTTATAAATTATGGGAAAGTACTTGCTATATACTAAATGCATGGAGTTTGATAATGTACTATTTTTTTTGAGTTCTTCTAATTTTTTGCTTCCCACTGTTGCGTTGTTCACTGTGCATCGTGAGCTCTGAGCTGCGAAATGCTATAGCGCAGCTAAGTCTCGTTGTGTGGTTGGAATTTGGTGTATTGGGCAATAGATCCAGTAATAGATGGATGTCTTTGCAGACTGCTCTTCCATTTTGCTTTTAGTCTTGTTTTTCCTGTGTGCTAGCAATGCTTTTTTCAAGCAAGCCCTGTAGCTGCAAAACCAAAATCTGACCACTACAGTCTGTTAATTTTAGTTGCTGCTTCCTCTTAGCTTCTCTTCTTCAACTTGTTCAGTGAGATGGGGGGGAAACTATATTGGCAGCTAAAACCAAGAGATCTTTGCTTAATAAATGAAAGTCCAATGAAAGATTTACTGATCTATGTAAATATTCTTAATGACCAGCTGTAAAAATGAGCCAATACTTCATGAACATAAGTAACATCATCATAAAACATCATCTACCTTAATGCTTTTTGACAATTATTGTAAATAGTTTTATAAGTTCAAGAAGGGGGGCAATTGTCTGTAAGGGTAAATTGTGATGGGAATCTCAGTGAACTTGGTGTTATGCTGATGTACAGCAACAGAAGATTCAGTTCTGGGATTTCAAACCTAGGACTGCGGGAAATGGCTCCATTGGGATCTCTGAACAACTGCTCGCTTTCAAAGGATCTAAAAAACTTGGATATTTTCAAGAATTATTTTTTTAAAAATTCTTTTTTTTAAAAATGCAGGCATGATAGCAGTTGTGCTGTCCCCATTGAGTATTTGAATAAAACCCTGACATTTAATCAATATCTATCAAAATGATACATGAATTTCAGCAACTTTTATGAAACAAAAAATTTGACAGTCCTCTTTGACAAAGGTGTAACTTGACTTTAGTTTCTTTAGTTGTTTCTTTCCCTTTATAGCAGATAACATAGTTCTGTTACAGTTTCTTTTCTGTTTTTTGCCTTATTCCAGCAACAGATGGTTTTACAAAGATTAAATGAAAGTGCAGTAGATAACAAACCAAACATAACACGTATGAGCCTTCATTAAGTGTTTTAGTGTTGACCAATGTGTATTTTATGTTTACGTTAAACTGTAATACCTTGAGCAACACAAACATACTGCCCATAGATTTAACATATGTGGAACTGAGTTAGGTAATGGAGTAGTGATACAACTTTCCTAAGGTCATACCTGGAGAGAAAAACTTGCCCAGATATCCTGTGTGTTTATCTGATTACGTTGGCCACATGAACATCTTTTCCAGCTGTCATCGCTGTTTTTAAATAGGTGTTTTGGCATATTCAATCAACTGCCTCTTCTCTGTGAATCAAAATACTTGACTAAGAATGTTTAGATGTTGATCAGTCATGAACCTAGCGACATATGTATGTCTTTGCTTTGTCTCAAGGAAAAAGAGAGTAATAATTTAGAACTGGCAGTTGTGTACCAGTTAAATTATCACCCTTTCTTTTATATATGCATGAGGGTTTGTGGAACACAACTTGTTAGACATCTCTGCTAATCTATGTCATTTTTTCCTTTGTAAATAAATATCTAGGCCTTGCACAGCTGAATAGCATCCTCTTAGAAAAAAAGAGAACTCGACCCAGCATTGATCACTCTGTTCCTCTTCATTTCTCCCAGTTCAGTAGTCGGTCACTGTCTTCTGCTGGGGCCTCCCTTTCATTGTGGTACGTGGCTGGTTAGCCCACTTCATCTGAAATTACACATCCTTTCTTTAGCTTAGTGACTTGTTACGGATTTACCAGCTGCATACACGGCTGGCTAATGCACTCTCACTAGTTTCTGTGCTGAGTAAGGTTAGTGTTACCTTCATATTTTTGCACTGTGCCAAAATATAAACATACATAATTTTATACAAAGCCCATTCTCATACCCTCTGAATATCTTGAACTTACTCCACTGAACCCATAACAAAGTTAATTCACAATGACTAGTTGTAACTCAGATCTTTTGGTGCTGATCTAGCCTAATGTTTTAATGGTAGTTTAAAAAATTTAGTACCTTTACTACCCTATTTTTTTTTTTTTGCCATCCTCTTTCAGCTGTACCATGGCCTTAAGTTATCAATTGGCATTTTTTGCTTTTAACTGCCTTTTCAAAAGGAAAAGCACTGATATTCAGTCATATTTTACCTATGTCTTCCATAGGAGTCAATGACCTTTAAAGGTTATGGGAATCCCTCAGATTAATTTTATGAAATCTTTTTGGTACGTACCTAACTGTTCAGTTTCTCCAAAGAGAGTAAGATGAGATTTTTCACTGACAAAACAACTGAGTTCTCAAAGAAATAAATGACTTTTTTTTTTTTAATGAAGAAAGTTTATTGCAGGTCTGTCTTTTACAATTCTAGTAGAAAGTATAGCTAAGAAAGAAAATTAACTATGACCAATTTGTAAGAACAAGCAAAGAAAATGAATAAGCTGAATACATACTATATTGAACTAAGCATTATGGTAAAGAGAAAGCCTCATCTATCTGTGACTGCAGATTACAGATAACTGCTCCCCAATCCTTGTTTCTAGTGCCTGCACCAGGTGAATAGGGGGATAGCACTGACAAACCTCTGATAAGTATTGATGGTGGCTGTTTGTAGTAGCGCCAATATCACCTCACCTGAGAACTGGGAACTGCTCCATCCATCCTAGCTTAGATAACATGCAGCAAGCTTTCTGTTCACAGGTCCAAGGCAATTTTATTTTATCTAATAGGTCATCTGAGTCTGGAGAAAGGTGTGGATGGGACACTTATGGTTAGGATAGAACATGGCTAGAACAAAAAAGGCTTCCTTGACTCCAGGCTTCGTTATAAATAAATGTCCAGTGCTTCTGTTTACATCCCAAGTCACTTTATTTAAATTCATATTACCTAATCACTACCCTGCAGCCTGCAAGTCCAATAACAAACTTGATGCAAAAACAACCATCCTTTCCTCTATCTCCAATGTTTGTCTCACAATATTTTACAGTTAGTCTACTAAAAAATTTTTTGTGAAAATTCGCCTCTTCAAGTTTAGTAGAAACTTGGGTAAAAATAGAGGAATCGGAATAGAAGGTGAGTTATCAGTTTTCTTCCCTTGTCTTCCTCTCCTGCTTTTCTGGGAATCCTCATCAGAAGAACAGAACGGGACCTGCTTGTAGAGGTGAGGCCAAGTAACTGTTCATCATCTCACTGCTTATATAAAAATATGGTTAGCTACACAATAAGTTAGTCTATTTAGAGCCCAAAGCTGTGTGAAATGCAGTTAATTAAACTAACACATGTAACTTAAAAATCATCTAACATTGCCAGAATCTTTCCCCTGCTGCTATTCTCAAGACAAGGGCAAAGGGCACTCAAAATACACATTCACTTGCCTGCTATGACAAGATCAGTCTCCCATGACAGAGCCTGCCTTGGGCTTGCCACAAGAGGGTGCACAGAAACTGAAAACAAATTGTCGTGTGAAATGAAAAGATTGTGGCAAGTGCAGGGAGCTTCAGCTGGATTTGGTTTCATCACACCTACGCACCAGGCTGATCCCCAGCAAACTCAGGAGACACTGAGGCAGGGAGCGTGGGGAAACTGAGTGGCTCAGAAGCAGCAGGGAAGAGTGTCCTGGACCCAGCCACAAGAGGATCATCAGCTGCAGCAGTAATTGCAGAGATTTTCTCCATTCCAGCTCTACCAGAGTCCTGACTGCGCTTGCTGCAGAAAATCTGACTCTCTTTATCTAGAGCTGTGTTCTAAAAACAAAGAAACAAAAAAACCCAAGGCAAAATATGAAAAACAGTTAAATTGAAGCCCTGTCTTAACTTCAGGGTTAAAACAATCTACAAGACATTAAATGCATGCAATAGAGCCAGAAAAAAAAAGGAGAAATAACATTAGAAATCTTATATAATTAATTGTAGCATTTTGTGGTGCTGACTTTGGAAAACATAAGGAAAACTTATCTTCCAGATGTATGTTTACCATGATAGTGTGAGTTTTAAATTGTCTTGCAAGTCTGACATGGAAAAAAAAAAAAAAAAAGACATGAGTCGTTATGATATGGCAGGAACTCTTCATACGAGCTACTAGAAAAATTATGTACCTGTGTTTTTGCAGCCACAAGGAGTCACATGATATTTAGTGAAAACTTACTTAATACCTTTTCTGTAACAAACCACCTGGAATGGAATTGTATCTGTTCATGAAAATGACATGGAAAAAAACCAAAACTAATGATTTTTTTTTTTTCCTATCTTAAAGTAAACCCTTTTCTGTTTATTGTTAAGAGTGGGCAGATGACCTCTCATGAAGCTGACATGGTGGCAGACCTGCATCGTTTCTGAATACTAGACTTAAATACTGGGTTACTGGAAAAAAAAGTAGCAGGTTAGAATGAAATCCGAGAACTCTCTAGTGCAGTAGTTGGATTATCTGAGTATGCAGTGTGCCTGCTGAAGGAGACAACTTTCATACCCTCTGAAGAATACTGTTATATTAGAATCATAGAACAGAATCACAGAATCATTATGGTTGGAAAAGACCTTTAAGATCATCAAGGCCTTAACATCATCATAAGTTTTTCCTAATGTCTAACCTAAACTTCTCCTGGTGTAACTTGAAGTATTTTCTTCTTGTCCTATCAGTTGTAACTTGTGAGAAGAGACTCACACCCACCTCTCTATAACCTCCTTTCAGGTAATTGTAGAGAGCAATATGGTCTCCCCTCAGCCTTGTTTACTCCAAACTAAACAACCCCAAGTCCCTCAGCCACTCCTCATAAGACTTATTCTCAAGACCCTTCACCAGCTTTGTAGCCCTTCTTTGGGCTCTCTCCAGCACCTCAGTGTCTTACACTGCAGCGAAAGCTAAACCCCAGTGTAATGTTTAATTGCTGGTGGAATGTCTGAATTGACCTAGAGGGAAATTTAGCAGTTCTAATTTTTCTAATAAGCATTAGCAGTTCTAATTGTCAAAAATATATGTCAAAATTGCTTTCTAAGACCTGGAGGGACAGCATAATTGGTCTTGTTTCACAGTTAGTTTGAAGGTTGATATTGATCATTATAAATCTACTTACCTCTTCGCTTAACTATTTACTTTGTGGAAGATCTTCAAGTACCAGCGGTAATACAGATTTAAGTTAATATAGATTAATTAAGTTCTTTGTAGTTTATTCAGTCATGAGAATGATGCGAGGTAGGCTTACTCTGCTCGTGTACAGCTTGGGCTTTCTACAGTAATCCACAGATGTGTGACACTTGAACTGAGGAGCAGAGCACAAATACATTCTTCACCTTTGTGGCACCCCCACATATGTATGACACTTAGGTGGAATTTCCTGTTTTGAGCTGGGATATGCTGGTTGCAAAGTAAGGTCAGGTGCTCTGCCTTTTCTTTAGCAATTCTTTCTTTTTTTTTGATTGCTTGCTCAGGAGGACTTGTTTTTCTATACACAAAAATGTCTATGTATTCTTAGTGGAGTTTGTCTAATACACTAAAATATGTAGTTTTTAGGTACTGGAATAATTTTCTGATACAAGTTAAATTTAGCATGTATTTTTTTCAGATGTGGTTTATTGCATCAAAGGCAAGGCAGAAATAAGATACTTATCCTCTCTTTTCCAAACTGATCATATAGCTTGGTAGCAAAACCTTGTTTCATTATGGAGTACCTAAACACAAATTTCTCTTCTACCCGACTTGGCAGAGAGCTGGATGTGTATCTCCAGTTTCTGAAATAGAGAACTTCTAGAATTTGCAAGTATACGGATGGTGGCTTGTTCAGGAATTGATGCCACACACTCCTACTGAAACTACTCTATTTTGTATAATGTGGCTGTGTGCTGGGGCAGGGGAGGTAACGAGCAGCCTCATGATACCCCCTCCTCCCCACAATACCTTCCTGCCAGGCTTTTCCAGATCATATTATTGAGCATAAAAGCTCCCAAAAGCAAATATTAAGTATTTTGAATTTAGGGTAGGTTGGTTTGGAGGATTTTTGTTGGTGTTTTTTTTGTGGTTTTTGTTTGTTTGTTTTTTTAAATTGGGTGACAACATTAGTTTATACACATACAGGTACACAAGAGAAACACAATTGAATTCTCTGCTACTAGCAGCTGACTTTGCAAATGGAGCATGCAAGGAAATGACTAGCCAAAATGGATCTAGGCTTTTGAGATTAGCTACAGTGTGCAGTAGTTTTATCATTATCAAAGTAGCTGCTGTGCAGGCAGGATTGCATTTCCTCATTTGCTTGCAGGGAAAAAGTTGACTTAAAAGGAAAAGAAATGCTTTCAGTTCATGATGATGGTGATTTTATCCTGTGCTGTCCTCACAGCAGCCTCTGATAGTTGTCACATCTTACAGATAGCAATACGTAACTATGTAATGCAATTTAGGATTTATTTCTTTTAAGTACTGAAGAGGAGGCTTAATTTTACTGTTGCTAAGTAACTTTTTTTTGTATGGTTGTACAGCTCTTTCCACTTCAGACTGGCCAAGTTATTTCTCCTTTCTTTTTGTTACAAATGGGGAACATGTATTTTTTTGTGCAGCAGAACAAAGCATCACAGTTAGTACGTACCATTGCCTTGGACCTACTCAGAGGAAAGCAATGCAGGCATTGGGAAAGGAGGAAAAAGGAAGGAAGCAAGGGACAGAAACTAGACTTACTTAAAGCAGAACTAACACAATTGCAACAAATTTAGTTTTACAGAACATTTTGAAATTGACAAAAAAAAATCAGTAATGAATTAACAGCAACATGCTTTTAGGGGCAGAGCTTCCTGTGCAAGAACACTGAAGTAGGTATGTGCAGTTTTACTTATCTGCCACATGATGGTATTATCTGCATTGGCCAGATGACAATATTTGCGTGAAGTGATGCTAAAAGGGATTCCATTAAATATGCAGGTGGACTGATATAGCAATGCACTGCAATACATGAGAATTACAATACTGTGCTTGTCTGAATCTGAATGTTTTTAAGCAATGAGTGCTAGAACAAGTGAAGAATTTCTTAACATGAAGATAACTAAATTCCAATGCTCTAGAGAAACCAGGGCAAGAATAACAAATTGGGAGTTTAATCCTCATTAGTGCTCTGAATAAGTTAATTTTCCCTTCAGCAATAATGGGGAGTTGCATTCAGAACTAAATAATTATGCATTTACATCCTCCCATACCTGTTAGAAGGAAATTAGGCAGGAAACAGGAAAATGGAAAAAAAAAATTTTAACAACGTGTAGTTCCCTGGCTGAAGGAATGTCAGTAGCTAACAGAATCAGAAACACCTCACACCGATAAGGAGCCAGAAGCTGCGCTGTGTCAGAGATCTGAGATAGGTTTAAGTGGCATGCAAGTTGGAGAGGGGCTGAGAGTTAGAATTGAAATTGCTTTTATTACATATAGTGCATTTTATACCAGTTTTCAGCTTCAGGCTTATCCATAGTCTCAACAGTATAAAGAATGAAGCTCTGAAGTCCCTCTCAAACTGTCAAGTCAAACTGTCAAATGAAATGTAGACAACAGCATGAACCTGAAATCCATTTTCTGACTTCTCACATTTTTATTTTTGTTACTGCTTTTCCTACATTTAAATCTGTGGCCTATTTAATCCACATAAATGTGTTTGCAAAAGCATGTATGTATGCAGAAGCATTATTTAAATTTACTTACTTTCAGATGATTAAAACAATTCTTTTTTAACATAAGTGGGCTGGATTTTGAGAGTAATTAATAATAATGAGGGGGAGGTTGGGGGTGGAAACCACTGTTATGTTACTACCACAGATGGTTTTATTTTTCTTTCAGTAATTAAAAATACTCTGTGTGTGCAGTGTCCATGCTTGCATTAGACAAGAATGGACCACAATAAGAACAGAATGGCAGTTCAATCTCTATAGCAGTCACATATGCTCTGCAAAAGTGACTGGTTGATTACAAGTGCAGTAAATTCAATTTCTTATACCATGAATCACGCGTCTACTTGCTGGAATAACTGTTTATGTAAGTTCAACTATAGGTCATCTGGGTTGCTTTGTATGCTTTGAAGAAAGTTCCCCATTATGGAACATAAAAAAAACCAAACATAGCAGGGGTTATATTGGGACAAAATTAATGTTGTAAACTTCCAATATTACCAAAAAAAATTCAGAAATGGAGTCTGGTTTCCTGACAAGCATAGTGGTGAACAACAGTACACTCAAGATCAAGCACTACTTGGATGGGCAGTGAAGAAGAGCCTACTTAGCTAACTAGGTGGTCTGTATGAAAAAAATACAGCTTTTGCAATGAAAGATTTCAAATTGTTAATAAGCTCCATTTCAACATGCAGCTACTTAGTGTTTACATGTTTCTGTTTGAAAGCTTGTTTTTATAGCTTAGCTAGCACACTGTGATTGACTTGGTTGCTCTCAAGCAATGATGAGACAATTCACATTATACACAAATAAAGACTAGAATTAGAGACTATTCTAGCTTTGCTTTGCTATTCTTGCACCACACATGCTCTTAGAGCACTGTTAGGTAAATATGTATAAAAATGTTCATTTCTCTTACCATGATGACAGAAACCCCAGCAGATGTGTTATTTTGCTTGGGTAGGGTGTTATTAAAGTGCTGCTTCAGTTTACCTGTTACTTCAGCTTGCATATTATTCTCCTGGGAGGCATCATCCTGTAAAAGAATAAACACAATATTCAAATTAGGAAAAAAGACAAAAGTATGCTTGAATGTACCTGTGCAAAAGAGAAGTTTGCTATTCTGCTGAGATACTTCCTTCTTTTTAATGCAAACTGTTCAGACATACAGCCCAAAAGTGAATGCCCTCTGCTACATGAGATATAGTTCAAAAAGGAACATAGCAACCACTGTTTCATTTATGAACTTTTATTTCTTAAAATGCCATGTGACACTATATCCTTTCAGTCCATTGGTTTGTCCCACAATTATAAGCCAAAAGTTTGATTCAAGCATGTTAAAAATAACATGCTTAAAATAATGTTAAAAATAAAAAAGCGTATTTGTCATTTGTCTTTTAAATCAGCATTTTATATGGTCAATCATATCCTAAGTGTGGAAACATCACACAGTACCAAAAATATGTTTGAGAGGAGCTGTTATGCATAGACACATTTGTTATAGTTGTCTTCTCTTCTCTTGTTTGAGGGAACTCCATAGATCATATTCAGTCCCTCTTTTAAAAACTGTGTAGAAATAAATATTGACTATGTATATGTAGACCTTGTATTTTATTGCTAATGAACGGATTTTTAAATCAATAAGTAAAGCACTTTTAGTGTTCCTCATTGTTGCTCTCTGAAAACATGAAGGACCTGGCAACTATCAGCTTAGTGCCTATGTTAAATAATGGATTATTTTTGCTAATTTTATTTCTCTTATGAAGCTTGAAATTCTTCAAAAAACAGGTGAGTACTTCAAGTAGTAGTGCAGCAAGTAAGATGCCAGCATGCACAACAGTCCTGCCACATACCCATTTTTGAGATTACTGTTTTCTAGGTTGAATGTGAAATTAAAAAAAAGACATGCCTGCCGTGTTATGTTTAAGGAGGGTTACAGCAATCCCCAGCACCTTCTAATCTCAGTCAGCAAGTGATATCCTTCATTCTGTTCTTCCCAGAGCACAGAAACTTAACAGTGCTGTCAGAGCTGAAGCTAATGCCAGACTCTTGCTTGTCTTTTGTGTGGAAATAGTGGTCCAACAAACAGAAGCAGACAAAGTAGAAGTGTATTGCTGCTTCTGAAAACTACACTTTAATGGTTAGATTTACAGATTTTTTTATAATAAATGAGAGACAATTAAAACGTAAGTTACTCACTGACACCCAGGGATGGCTTAGGATCTGTGCTGCTGTATATCGGGCTTCAGCATTCACATGTAACATCAGGCTGATTAACTCCTTTATAAAAAAAAAAAAAAAAAAAAAAAAGGAGTTTGAGGAGAGTGGGGAAGGACATCACAATGGAAAATATCTTTGCATCAAGTTATTCTCAGTGCAATTTTCTTGCTACCTGGGTGAAAAAAAACCCCAGCTTACACTGATACCAGAACCAGTGATACCAGCGTGACTTTAGTGGAACAAAAAATTTGCCCTTCAGATTTAGCGTATGCTGGACAGTGTATTTCTTATCAACTTCCTTATTGTATGCATTTAACAGTTCATAAAGGGCACAAACCAGAGGCAAGAAACTGCATCTGAAATTCAAGAAACTGCTGAAATTATTTGAAAGCTATGTTCTCTTCTGTGTTGTTCCAAAAGAATAAAAGACATTTAGGATCAACTGGTATAGGAAAAAGCAGATAGACGGAAAGAGACAAATGTTTAATTCTACTAATTATAAGATTTGGTATTGTGGCTTTCATCATATTTTAGAGGCACTAAATCAGATGTCTTAGCTTTATCAAATACTTACCTGGGCCTTCTGTAAACGGTGTGACTAAGCTGCCTAGAGATATGATAAACCTCAAGAGCTCATTGATACAAAGCAGCCAGTAAAGTAAAATGAAAAGACCAAAAACCCAAAACAAATTTCTTAAGTTGTTTATTCAAGTTTCTTATGCAACTAACAATTCACTGGTGTAATTCCTGGTTCTACAAGCCTATCAGGACAAATATGTCTCCCTCCCAAATGAATAAAGTCATGTACTTGGAGCCAAATTCCCTCTTGAAAATCCTTTTATAAACTGTCGGCCTCCATATTCTCATCTGGAGTATTTCAAGGAAATTGTTCATCACTTGAGTTTTGGGAAATGGCTTCTTCAAGCAGATAACATACCTAACCGAGGGGTTTCCCAACCAGCCAAGTTATTTAGTCTGTGAAAGACTGAAGTGAAAGGGATCACCTTTAGTACCAAGATTGAGGATCTTGTTTCTTCAGAATGTAAGTCCGGAATTGTGTAAGATGGCTGGAGCTTGGGAAATGTTGGCAAATGGATAAACAGCCATTGGGAAATGCAGAAAAAATGCAACTTCTCATTGGCTGGATAACAAATAATCTCCACTTGCTAATTAGAGTCTTCAGATATCATTCAGAGCATGTTGCTGAATTAACTTGAGAATTGAGGCTTAAAACTTGGAACCTTTATCCTGAAGAGTCAATCATTTTAAACAAATGCTGATGATAACACAAGAACTATTAGCAATGGCAAATCAAGCTGTCAGCACCTCCTGAAAGGTTCTAATATGGCTCAAGTATAATAGTAGCAAATTATGTCAATTGCATTCAGTTCACATAGCAATAATTTATCTTTTAAAAAAGATTGCTAGGAAGGAAAATTAAGAGAGACACTTGTTTTAGACCTGAAGAGCTGGACCTGCTATAATAGTTCATCATTAAGAAAACTGAATAGCATTTGGTGTTCACTGAATGCAATTGGCATTCTGCTACACTTACTCAGACAGTAACAGGATGGCCTGCAAAACCTGAGTTGTCATCAAGCACTGTTAAGCTAACTGACCAGAAAGGCACAGCAGCTGGAGGAGTGGGTAAGATTCTGTTCAGAATCTTTTATTCTCCCTTTCCAACAAAGCACAGTTGTTTCACTGGCTTGTCAGAAACACTATTTCAGGTGGAAAAACATATCAGTACCTTTGCTGAATCAGTGATGTTATCCCAGTAGGGAGAAGGAAACTCCAGCTTCCCAACAAGTATCTGATCAAAGAGATCTTCCTGAAGGTTGTTTTCACTGTAGAACAGCCGTAATGAAAAAGATCATGAGAAAGCAGTCAATTTGTAACATGAGGAGTTTTTAACTTGATTTGAGGATGGAACAGAAATGATGTTATATCGACTACTATAAATACATAATTTGCAAGCTTATATAATGGCAGTGCTTCTGAAGTGTTTGCCATCGTTACACTGTCAGCAGGGGTGAGAACAGAAAAATAATATATAGAGGTGAAAATTACATATTAAGCTAAAAGGACTTCCACTGGATTAGAGAATGCATAGCTAACAGACAGGAACAGAAAAGGTGATTAAGAACTAAGTCACTTGCCAGCCTAGCTGCAAGCCTATGATAGGGGGAAGAAGTGTAGTGAAATGAACCTCTTCTGTTAAACTATCACAACAGAAGAATTTTCAAAATCCAAAGAGGAGACATTGAAAACAATACATTTAATTTACTGAGCATTGGCAAGCTACTGCTATTGATATAAGAAGTACTTCTGTATCAAAAACATGGAATCACGTATATGCAAGAATCGCTGGCAGTGAGTTTTTATTTTTTAACCTCTGTTTGTTTGCCCTAGCCACTGTGAACATCCACCCAACCTATTACTGTAACAAACAATTTACCTCTTGGGTTGGTTTTGCAATAAATATTTAACCTTGGTTAAGACCTGATTCTAATAGCATGGTATGGACATTCTCCACCCTCCAACTCTATTCAAAACAATTTGTTTATATGATCTCTTTAAAAATATGTTTTCAGTTTTAAAGATGAACTAACCATGTGCAAAAACCAAATACCTAAACTAAAAGATAATTTTTCCATTGACAGTTGTTTATCTTGTATTATTTGCAAAATATTCAGTCTGGTAACTTTTAGTTAAAAACTAAGTGTTTTGCTGTAAAAACACACAAACAGAATGCATAAATAAATTGTAAGTTAAGAGAAGAATTCCCTATTAAAATGTGTCAATTCCTTTTCATTCTCTGGCAGAAAAACAAAAACAAGCTGAGGCATAAAGCATATCCATGATTATTTTTAGTAGAACTCATACATACTGTGACACTGAGAAGCAAGAATCATGTTTGCAAACCCAGTCAATCATATGAAAATTATCAAAAAGATTAACATGGTTAAAAATGCAACATAAGCAAATCTTTCCCCTCACCTGAGTTTTACCATTAACCTTCACTCAACATAAACCAGTAAGCTGCTGTGTCCTGATGGAAACGCTAGAGGGCAAAGTATACATGTTCATTGAACTGGGATACACTTACCAAACAAAAGGAAAACAAAGTATGCTCTCACACCACCATGTCCCTACACACAGCAGTAAACCTATTGCTCCCTTAGAAAAATAAGTAAATAAAATTGATCCCAAAACCTGACAACAGGGACAAGTGAAAACAATTTTTTTAAATTAACAAAATGATAAAGTAAATGTGTCAATTTAATCCATTTTTTCCCAGGATGCCTTCTTGGTAGATAGGCAAGACTTGCTCAGAAAGAACTTGGTTCTTCAGTGTTTTTCCTGTTGACACACAGAGACACTTACCTGCGAAAAGGTGGAAATCCACATAAGAGTATGTATGTGATCACACCTGCAGCCCAAATATCTACCTTCAAGCCATATCTGAGAAAACAAGACTGTGTTACTTGTGCTGGATTAAAAAAAAAATCATCCCAATCAAACAATGGATTAGATTTACATGCATACATATATTCAGAATCTGTTCTAAGTTACTTGCTGATGATGTGGAAATGTATTTTGTACTTAAGCATCATTTTACTTAGTGTCTTTCACAGTCTTTAGCAAACTGTGATAACATCATTTTTCATCGTTTGGTTGGCTTTTTTCATAAGCCTCAAGGGTCTCCAGGGTCTTCTGAATATACTCAGATTCAACCCAGTATCAAGGTTTCCCAACCCATAATCACCAATGACAATAGAAAAGGATGTGCTTTCTTCGTTTCCATATTGGAGAAACTATCTCTAACATTATCAGGTGTTGCTAAGCAACAAGAAAGATACCAATTCTCCATCTCTTAAATGACTGAGTTACAGGGGAAAAGAACTGTACCTTTCTTTTAAAGCACAGAAATGAAAACACTAGAGGTCAAAAAGAGGTATTTTTCTTTCCCTAATTTGGTTTGTCAAAATCTAAAACATGCACATGAAGTACCCTTTGACATTTGAGCTCACTGCAGCTCTGAAATATTTCTTGACATGACAAATGCACTGAACAGGGCTTGAAACAATACTATAAACCTCCCTCCATTAGGAAGACCAAATTCAGAATGGTCACAGCTAAGGCAAGAGTCAGCTAGGATGAAACAGAGGTCTAATAGGTCTAAAAGGAAATTGTGAAATTTTACCATTTTGCAAAATTATTTTGTATTTATGCAACCACTTGTTAAGTACAGAAAAATGGGATGGTTTAATTAAACCAATAGTTACCACATGGTACGTGTCACCCAAACAAGGTCACTTGAAATCAACAGGATCTAATTAGACCCGCTCAGAGCAGAGGTTTAGATTAGATGACCTTGGAATCTCTCCCAATATAAATTATTGTTTCTTGCATGAACACTGTATTTTGCTGGTCAATTTTTCTCGAGGCAGTTGCTGTGGCTGGTACAATGGGCTCTGAACGGTGAGGTGAGGCAGGGAACACAAACCAATAAACTAGTTACAAGATATATGTCCTGGTCAGTCATCCTCACCCTGTCTCTGCAATGATTTCTGGAGCCACATATGTGGGTGTACCACAGACAGTATATAAAGGTCCTTCAACCACAGTCGCCAGTCCAAAGTCTCCTAGCTTCAAAGACTTCGTTCCATCTGGATATTCACATACCTAGAATCACCAAAATAAAAACAGAATGGGGAGGAGAACATATGCATTTAAAAAAAATCATTTAATGTGTTTGGAAAACAATAATCATCACACAGAGAAGGTAGGAAAAAAAAGAGGTAACTTCCATAGCCCTGTAGGAAAGGAAGAGAAAAATGGTATGGCCATTGATTGCCACAGTGCAGCTGGAGCTAGAGTTCAATGGAGCTGTCTGCCAGCTATGTAGGTCAGACCACTATATAGCCTTAAGCAACTAGAGTGGGGGGGTGGGAAGAAAAGCCAATCCTACAATGCTGAGAAGTTTTAAATATATTTTAAAAAACACAACACTATGCTTTCAATTGATCAGGACCCAGAGTGGTAGCTACCATGAGATTTGTTTGATCTCTCACTAACTTAGCATAAATCTAGTCACTTAGCATACTGGATATTTCACAGGCAAGTATCTCTCCTAAGCTTAATCTAGGCAAGTTCAGTACAGAAGTGAGAAAGCTGACTGAGAAGTGTTTAGGTTTCCGTGCAGATCCAAGTGCATCTTACCCAAAAGCCCCATAAAGAATCTAGCACATCTTGTTCCGAGTAATTTTGTTGATGAAATAAGATCAATTTTAATAGAAAGAAAAGGGTTATACAACAGTCACAGCAAGAGTAAATCAAACCAGACCAACAGCAAAGGAAACATTCCAAATAAATGAACCTTGGTTTTGCTCTTAGTAAAATTTTTATGTGAACATGTTTTCAACAGGATCTAGTTTCTAGAATATTAGACCCCAGAATTTCCAAAATGGCTGATTTTATTTGCTTTCCTCAAACAACTGAATACTGCTAATGCGGCGATACCGTCCTTCATTCGCCTGTGTAATTTGTATAATTAATGGAAACATTATCCTTGATATAACACCTTCATACTATGTGTGATTACTCTTAGAGTTTGTATTTTTGAATGCACAACTAGTAAAAGTTATGTAATGTTATTCAGACAGCTGGATGACACTGTGCAAAAAGAACTAACTACTTATAATTACAATTACAGGTAGCAATTGATGGGAATGATCTGCATTTACATTCAATACCAGTATGTTATCTTAACATTCTGCCACTGTCAATCACAGTGAGTAAGATTTGCATCTGTTCAGTAATCTCTTCAGGCTTCCTATGCAGAAAGGACATTTGTGGCTATTCATAACTGATTCAATCACTAATGAGAGCTTAAAATTTCTGTGGACTAGCTGTTTTTGAAGACATGATGATAAGCAAGACTTCCACCTTCATTTTCTCTCATTTAAGTACCATGTTGCTGTGATTACATTTTCCAGGAGAAGCTCTCCCTCCCTTCCTTTTGCTAAACAATCTAATTTGTTTGAGGGTTTATTTAAATTGCTAAACACTGTCAGTGGAATTAGTTAGGAAAGAATTGACTATTAATTGAAAAATATTTTCAGCTTATAGCCCTATCTTGCAATAATGCAAAATCTGGTCTGGAATAAGCCATGACTCCTACTCTAGATGCAACATCATTAAACAGGATTGAAAAACACCACAGAAGAAATTCCTACCAAGTGTTGATGAAAGCTACTAGCATTCCTGATAACAGTCGCTCAAGAAGGGTTGATTATGGCCCTGGCTGTTCAGTAATATCTAATACCCAATATGTAATGCGTAACCATAACCTCTTGTATAAACAAGATACCATCCTGTTCACATTTTACACACTGTAGTCCAAGCAGTTCCCAAAGCTGACTTCATGGTAATTCTTGTCAATACAGTTATTTTATGTCTCTGCTGAAAACAAAAGTAGTCAGTCCCCTAGGACAAAGTAAATGTATGTACAGATTTAATTCATGGCTAGAATACTGAGAAGTAATCAGAAAGATGTTCCTACTATAACAGTGAAAGAAAAAGGAAAAAACCAATTGCTCGAGATAACCATATTATCATTCAAAGAAATGGCACTCAGCCCACCTTTTCTCCCACTTGCAGGCTACAATAAATAATTCATCAACATAGCTTTAAAATTCATTGTTTTGTGAGACAATACTTCTGCTTATCCAAATGGCAGCCAATCAAAATGTAAATAAAGATAGGTCTAAGGACAGGTTTGAGCACAGCTCATTTGGGTTATGGTGATTGCTATCTCATGGCAGAAGATTTATTTCATACACACTTATTCTAAATTAATATTCCTGCT